TTTGCCTTCGAGACAAATTGAGGTCGCCGATTGGTCATTTGCTGACACGCCTACTGGATTGATTGACAGGTCAACAAAAAAAGCGCTGGCAGCCTCAGCCGCAGCGGTGTTCTGTTTATATGTTAATAAAAATATTAAAAAAAAAAATTTTTTTAAACTGGGAGCGCTGGCTCTGCAGCCCACACATCTGACCAGCCCCCCAGGAAATCTCCAGACCCTCCCGCAGCCACACTGGACCTGAGTTTAATTTGCTCGTGACAAATTATTTCATTTCTCTCCATTTCAGTCATGGCATCAACGGAGGAGGAAGAGATCACTGCCTCTTGGCAAAAAAACAAAAGGCCAGATCAGGGATGAAGAAGAGGAATTTAATACATTTGTGTCTCATACAAAACAGTGCGTCGCCGGACAGTTTATTGTGCAACACTGCGTACGCGGTCGTAAAATTTGAGCTTTGCACGGACATGCCCTGGGGGGCACGCGCGTACCTCCACGTATGGACGTACGCAGGAGTATACTGGGGGCTTTACTGCCCGTTGTTTACCTTTTAATGAGTTGTAAAATGTTCTCCTTTCCATTTATTTGGATCACTTAATTTTCCAGCCTTTTGTTGCCTTGATGAATCAACTTTTTTTAAATGTTGCCATGAAATTCAAATTTCTTATTTGCTTTTATAAAAGGTTCAGTTTCTTAGTTTAAACATTTGATGGTTTTTCTTTGTTCCACTATGAGTGGTTTGAGATTTGCTCTTTATTTAATTTTATTTACATTTTACACAACGTCCAGATGTTTTCAGAATTGGTTGTATCTGCAGCTGTTTACAAGTCTAAATGTAACTGGAGCTCCAAGGATTCCACGTGAAATCTGAGTATTGTCTTGTAATATTTTTGTCTCCAACTAGAGGCCAAAAGCCACAGCCCCACGAGGCGCCGCCCGACACAATAATAAGATTAAAACAGAAAAACAGTTCAGCGTTCTCTTTTATTTTCACTGAATTCTTTACTTCCTGTTTCCTCAGTTTCCATCGACTCCATCTGTGAGGTCTGCGAGGGCAAACAATCGGAGATCTTCCAGCGGTACTCCGAGGGCAGCTTCGACCCAAACTGTTGCTTCAGCCTGTATTATGGCGAACACATGGAGTCCCTGGACCTGGTGTCCGGCACCGGCGAGGAGGCCCGGACCTGGATCACCGGACTGAAGTACCTGATGGCAGGAATCAGCGACGAGGACAGTCTGGCAAAGAGGCAGCGCACCCGCGACCAATATCCTTCAGTCATACAGAAGCTCGCAGAAACGTCTGCTTTAGATTTTCTTTTTGCAGCGAAACGTTTTGGTTGAAACAGAAAATGAACTTGAACTTTCTTTAGCTTGTTGTTTTTCTACGTGGCTGAAACAGACGTTCACTGAGGCCGATAAGAACGGCGACGGCAGTCTGAGCATCAGCGAGGTTCTTCAGCTTCTGCACAAACTCAACGTGAACCTGCCTCGACAGAAGGTCAAGCAGATGTTCAAGGTACCGAGCGCAACAAACCCAAACGGCTCACCAGGGCTTCTGCACAGTAAAGCTCAGCTGCAGCTTTAATACCAGCCGGTTTGTTTCCTTCGGTGGCAGTTTGTCTGTGAAGGAAAGAAACGAGCGGCGCCAGATAAAGTTGTTGATGCACGTCGATGCAGCATCTGTACCGTCTGCAGGCAGCACTTTGAAAAGTGTCGCCTCAGACCTGAGATGCTGAACGCAGCTGCTCCTGCAGCTAACGCTGAGCTGAATAAAATGTAACGACTCTGACAGCTGAAGGTTTACTCCAGATACCACAGTCTGTTGTTCTGACTGGAGTCCTGAAGACGTTCTTCAGTGTCTTATACGCCCACCGAAGGCGAATGGATTAGTTTATTCTCCGTCTTGTTCCTGCCAGAACTTCTGATTCATATCACTAAAAGCACAATTATACAAACTTTTGAAAATGGTGATTCAAACACTAACAAAATAAGGAAAATCATAAAACTATTAAAATAAATAATTAAATATCTTAAATAATAAAATGTGTTTTTAAGATACGTTATATTTTTATCCATCTTTTATACTACAGTAGTCCTCGCTACTTCGCGGTTTGTTTATCGCGGACTCGCTCTATCGCGGTTTTTCAAAATAAGAGTGGACATGACACACAACTGGCTGATTGATGGATGAGCTGCACGATCGGCGTGGAATTTTTATTCAAAATAAATTTTCAATTATTTAGTACCTGCTGCACATTCGTGCAGCCCTTACTGCTGCAGGATAAACTTCCTGCTGCAGCTGATCAGCTGTTCTCCGTACAGAGTGGAGAAGTGGGCGTGGCCAAGAGCGCTAGCAGGTGGCAAAGAGCAGAGGAGGCAGAGAGCTGAAATCACATTGTGTGCTCTTTTAGAGAGTTTAGAAACATTGTTTAGAATATCTAAATCTCTCTCCATCGCTCTCTAGTGATCTCTGTTGATCTCTGTTGATCTCTATCTATCTCGATCTATCTCTAGCTCTATCTATCGCTATATCTCTATCTCCATCTCTATATCTATATCTCTGTCTCTATATCTCTATCTCAAAACAAATACTAAATCAGTTCACACTGTGTGAAATGCCTGTGTGTGAGAACAGATGTTTTTAACATGGATTTGAAGTGAGGAAGGGAGGTGGCCTGCCTACTGTTGGGGGGCGAGTTGTTCCAGAGTTTGGGGCCCATGACTGAAAATGCCCGTACCCTAAAGACTGACGAGCAGCGTGCTGTTCTGATTACACGCATTACACTCTTACCCAGTCGGAAGAAAAAGTAGTTCCCACCAGCCGTGCATCATTTAGTCAAGATCTCAATAGTTTAGTTACTTTCCACCGTCTTTCTGTTAATTTTATGCATAGCATGAAATGACTGAAGTATCAATAGTTTGAATTAAGAATCGATTCTAGAGCGAAAAGTTCTGGTATCGATAGCATCAATATTTTAGTATCAATCTGCACATCACTACCAAACGCAGCATCTTTGTGTTGATGTTGGGGAATTAGCCTCCTCAAATCTGCCGTAAGCACTTCCTTCCTGGCGGATTGTGACTGATCGGTGCCGACACCCTGACTGCTGCAGATGTTGGCCAACGACCCAACAGGGATTAACGTGTCAACATGTTAAACGTGTTTGTTTGGCCTCCTTTCCACGGATTGACCAGACGGCCCACTAACAGGAAGTCCAGAGGTCCATATGGTCCCACCGGGACACAGATGGCCCCGGTGTAAAGCGGGGGGAGGGGGGGTGATCTGGCTCTGAGCGCGTCTTCAGACATCAGTGAAGATTTGTGTCGGCTGCTTTCTGGGCTCAACCCAGTTACCGTCTTTCCCCGTTAGGAGGCTAACCCGTCTTGTGTCTGAAGTGAGACGGGAGGAATGAGTCAGACCTAGAGACGGCTGTGGCCTTTTGATTTAGTGTTGTGGTGAAAGTAACAAGATTTCCCCTGAAATCAATGACTTGTCTCATTTTATCTCATCGTTTATCTACAAAGTATTCAGACCTCTGTCACTTTTATTTTTATACGCCCGTCAGAAGAACGTGTTGCGGTGCAGCCTCTGCCCGTAAACGTTCTGTTGTCCAGACCAAAACTTCTGATCCGCTCAAGATACTTTATTAAACTTGATCATGAAACATCTCTAGACAAAATGTCACATAGTTTTAATCACTCTGGCTTCAAGGTCACATATCAAGGTCAACATTAAAACTAAGTCTTGTCCGAACCAAAACTTCTGATCCGAGATGGTTAACAAAACTTCAGGTGGACTTGTTACCACCGGTAGACAGCGTGTCGCCAAATATTTTCATCACTCCAGCTTTAAGTTCTAGAGCAGCGCCGCTCCAGGTGGCTGCATGTTGGAGCAGCTCTGATACTTTCATTCTGAGATTTTGCTTTTGGAAACTTCAGTTCCTCTTTTTCTGGATGTAAATCACATCTTTTGGATGATTGTTTCCTCTGGTATCAGATGCTGTGCAGCTGGAAGGATTTTTACTGAAACTTTTTTTTAGTTTTGGACATTTATGATGCGTAACCATGGCAACAAGGTGGTCATCTACATCCAGCAGCTGATTAACATCTAAAAAGCTCAAATATCTCAACTACAGCCCCAAATCTCAAAAGAGTTGAAAAGGATGTTCTTTGGATGCATCCTCATCTACCTGCCAGCTGTGCTCAAGTGTCTGACCACTGAGATCCTGGAACTAGCAGGAAACACGGCTCATGACAGCAGAAGGACAGGATCGTCCCTCGGCACCTACAGCTGGCTGGCTGCAGCGACGAGGAGCTCAGCAGACTGCTGGGAGGAGTGGTCATCGCTCTGGGAGGAGTTCTGCCTGGCATTCGGGCGGTCCTACAACCCAGGGAAACCGAGGGGCCAGCCGAGTCTGGGTGGACGGATCGGACGGCATCTGCAACCAGTTTCTTGGGATCCACTGTGGGATGGACCTTTAGAGATCCTTCCTGTCTACAGCATCAGTATTTATAACATAATTTATAGCATTTATAACTTTTGTTTAAATAATTGTCGGATCAGAAAGTGTCCGTCTCAGACTGCAGGATTAAATAATCTCCAATCAGAACGGTTTTGCTTTGATCGGGAGTCTTCATTATTCTGCAGTGACTGATGGGGGCTCGTCGACGGGTTGGATTTAAGCTCCGTGTTTTTATAAATGAGCTGAAGGCGGAGAGTTTAATCACTGGAGGAGTTCAGGTGTGGATGGAAAGGTTAAGCCTCTGTCTGCATCCAACTGCTGAGCTCTTACTCAGGCGGTGGAGATAAAAGAACGAGCTCTCTAATAACTTCAGTGCGGAGGTTCATGCATAATTAATGGGGCTGTTGGGAACAGGAGCAGCTTTGTGTGTTTTAAGACGTTGCTCTGCTTGTTGTTGTTTTTTTATGGGTCTGCGATGTCTCCCAAGTGACACGAATTCTTCTATAAAAAGAATTAGCAAGTGCTGTTTACTTTGATCCTTTTCAGCTCCGTTCATCACATTGTGGAAGCGACCATTAGAAAATTAAACATACAGGGTCAACCCCCCCACACACCCCCACCCACACACTAATATGTGGTAAGTGTCCCTCAGCGAGTTATTTTCAGAACAGACCCGTACGAGCCTGGTCAGAGTATTAGCTTCTATCTGCTGCTCTCGGATCACTTTGAGCAGCTCGGAGGCCAAACTCCAGCTGGTCTGGACGTCATCGGGCCGCCTCCGGTGCTGTGCGGCATATGGAGGCCATTATGGTCAATCTGAAGCGAGGATCATGTGACCCAGTGCCTTTTTTTGTTTAAGCTCATTGTAGCTCGTTACAAGCAGGAAGAAAAGCCCAAGCAGCAAAATCTTTGTAATGTTATTGACAAACCAACAACAGTCATTTTATTTCTGCCGCAGCTGTGCAGGAACATCTCTCTGAACTTGAGGTGAATTCGTGGGTCGATACCTGCGGTGTTGAGTTTAGTCAGAAGGTGAGGTGGCAATGCTGTCGCCCCCCAGGGGTGTCAAACTCGCCTACACAAGTTGGCCAAAATTTAAAACGTGTGGCGCTTTGCCACTGTCTAAACTCTTCTCAGCTACACACGACACGGAACCAGTTAAGGGCCTGACTGCTGCCGGTACCAACCCCACCCAGCCCGGTTTGTGGACCACCTTGTTGTGGTTCCAAGCGGACTGCTCTGAGGGGCCGATTTTAACGCAAGTAAACTGCAGAGATGCGTCACTGGATAACCCGCCCAGCAAAACTGAAAACTACATCTAAACTGCCACTTCATCGTGTTGACGGACGGCACCACAAGAAATGAGCGCATTTACTGAGATATCTCGGAGATGATGGTGCAACATGGCTACACCCGGACTCGAGCAGCGCCGCAGAGATAAGCTACAGAAATTAAAGTCCAATTATAGAACGATTAAGGACTGCAACGGGTGGAGTGTCTTGAACACACAAAAGACCAGGTATGATCCCGCTCACTTTGCATTGATGATCCCGCCCTCTATGTATTGATGATCCCGCCCACTTTTCATTAACTATCCTGTCCACTTTGCATTGATGATGACGCCCACTTTTCATTAACGATCCTGTCCACTTTGTATTGATGATCACGCCCACTTTTCATTGACGACCCCACACCTTTGCATCGATGATCCCGCCCTATGTATTGATGATCCCGCCCACTTTTCAGTAACGACCCCACACCTTTGCATTGACGATCCCGCCCACTTTGCGTTGACGATCCCGCCCACTTTGCGTTGACGATCCCGCCCACTTTGCTTTGACGATCCCGCCCACTTTGCTTTGACGATCCCGCCCACTTTGCGTTGACAATCCTGCCCACTTTGCGTTGATTACCCCGCCCACTGAGCGAGAAAACGGGTTGGCCTCCTTTCTAGTAGTAAATCACCTCCACCTGACGAGAACGGAGAAGACGAAAGCTGAGTGGAGCTGCACTTGCCAAAGGCAAAGAGGCATTACTGCGAACGAACAGCCACTTTCAGTCGATGGAATAACTCCAGTCAGATTTCTAACGTCTTTTCATGGTTACAGGTTTCACGAGTTTCATTTGACATTCCCGTCACTTTTTCTATATCAAAATCAGATTAAGGGAAAGTTCAAACAGGCCAGCTGCTGTTAGAACTCCGACATACATAATGCAAATTTTTTAATAAAATGAGAAGCAACAAAAGTATATTCCTTTAAAATATCATCTTGGGGGGGCTAGATAAGATGTTAACAGAGGCCTGTCACAATTAATAATTAATTGCATTATTAATGAAGATTATCAACCTTATTTTCATTTATCAGCTTTATCGTTTCTTCATGTCTCTCTAATGAAGTCACTGGATGACAAAAGTCTTAACTCTGGTGTTCTTCACTGACCCCTCCCTTTCTCTTTTTCGCTTTTCTTTAAAATCCATTTAAACGATCCAAAATTGCGTTTTTGGATCGTTAAAAGCAGCTAAGCTACGAGCTAAGCTAACAGGCCGACCTCAAGGAAAAAACCTCCGTCTTGTCAAAGCTCCAAAATTCACGGTTGAAACCCGTGCATTCGTGTAAAAAGTTATTCTCTGCAAAAAGCTGAGAACTTGTTTACCGATTTTATTTTTAAATTTTTATTAAAAGCTTTGTGTGATAAATGTTATGCTAAAGGGCTCAAATCACACCGAGCATCCGCCTTTTTGAGAACCATAAAACAGGAAGGAGAGACGGCTCATGTCACGTCAAAGGGCCTCCCTCCCTTTTTCTTAGAGACATGCTGCTCGCTCCCTCACTATCCATCCTTCATTTCAGTCTTGTTCTGCCATCCGGTGGTCAAAAAGGTACTAAATGCAGAACTAACCCACATTCCTTCTTAAATTTGACAATTATTACAATTATTATTGTCAAATTTCCAACAATATTATTGTTTATCACAATAATTTCTAAGACGATTAATTAATCGCCCAGCAAAATTTGTTATCGAGACAGACCTACGTAAACAAGGGCTATATTTAGCCCTCGGGCCTCGAGTTTGACATGTCTATACCCTCCCTGGCAGCAAGAGGTGGGGGACACCCTGGGCATGTCTCCAGTCCATCACAGGGACACATGGAGACGAAGGAGACAACATTCACTCACACCTAAAGACAATTTGGAGTTGTTATTGAACCTAACGTGCATGAAAACTGATGCAGCGTGGGGAGAACGTGTAAACTCCACACAGAAAGGTCAAGAGGTAAACTGGCAACCTTTTAGCTGAGAGGGGATGGCACAAACCACTGCGCCACTGTGCCACAGTTGGTAGAGGAAAGAAGTTTTTTTTTTGTGTGTGTAATGTATTTTACAGGCTGAACACTGGATTATGTTTTAGCAGCATTGCACAAAGGATGAAGAATTGAACCAGAATATCTGTAACTAGAGTTTGAGAGTGAAGAAGCATCAAAGAGAACTCCTCAAAGGTCTTGTTGTGGTTTAAAGTCGACAAATTAAATCTTTTTTTACTCTTACCTTGTGCACAGGAGGCAGATACAGATGACCACCAGGGGACGTTGGGCTTCGAGGAGTTCTGCTCGTTCTACAAGATGATGTCGACCCGCAGAGACCTGTACCTCCTCATGCTCACCTACAGCAACCACAAAGACCACCTGGACACGGACGACCTGACTCGCTTCCTGGAGAACGAGCAAAAGGTTCGAAACGAGTCTGCCCGAGTGCGTCATTGGTCACACTGGAGGGCTTTTATTTCTTTATTATTCTCTACATACGTGCTTCTTTCACATCTCAGCGCATGATGTAACCTTCTGTCGCCTGCGGGGTGAGAAATGCAACAAAACTTTTACTTGATCAAAATCATCGAAACCCTTCAACCCAGGCGACGCCACTCTCTCATCTAACAGAAGTACAAGTGTTGAAAAGTTCAGTGCAGATGGAAGCACAACAATAACTGCTGTAGTTTACATTCAGGACGGTTTGTCCACATGCTGAAGGTATTTTTAAAAGATGTTTGAGATGTTTTGCTTCTTCAAGGAACTTTCTCAGTCCAAACATGTTAAACTGCAGTCAGCTGCTCTGGTTTTCTACGAGGTAAACTCCCATGCAAATCACTGTCCACCTCCTTCCTCCCGAGCGGTTGTTGGTTTTCTGTTTTGATGAAACTCTGACGAGAACTGAAGCGTCTTCAGAAAACGAGAAGCCGTGAACCCGAGGATGAAGGATGAGGCGATGCAAACGGCTGGTTTATGAACGGCGATGGTTGAAACGCCCGGGGCGACGTTCAGATGGGTTTGAGTCCGGTTGGAGACGCCCACAACCAGACTTTTCCAAAATGTTTTAAACTTGTTCAAAACCCAAGTCGGAGCGCTGCAGCTTCTGGGATCCATCTCAAATCAACTCTTGTTTATTTCTGTAGCTCCAAGTCACAACAGAAGTCATCTCAATGCACTGAACAGAAACATTCACGTACATTAAGAAGACCGTTAGTAAAAGTTCTCTCTCTGAAGAAGCAGCAGATTGTGTTGAAGCTTCACTTCGTCTGTGTCCCATCCTGAGCTAGAACTAAGGAGACCGTGGAAAGAAAAACCTTCCTTTAACAAGAAGAAACCTCCAGCAGAAACAGGCTCAGGACGAGCGTCCAGCTGCTTCCACCGGCTGGGTCTGAGAGGACAGGAAGGAGGAACGGACACAGAATGGCAGGTCCAGGTGTTCTTTCTATTGTCTAGGTGTGGTTTCTATAGTCCAGGTGTGGTTTCTATAGTCCAAATGTGGTTTCTATAGTCCGGGTGTGGTTTCTATAGTCCGGGTGTGGTTTCTATAGTCCAGGTGAACTTTATATAGTCCAGGTGTGGTTTCTATATTCCAGGTGAACTTTATATAGTCCAGGTGTTTCTATAACCCAGGTGTGGTTTCTATAGTCTGGGTGTGGTTTCTATAGTCCGGGTGTGGTTTCTATAGTCGGGTGTGGTTTCTATATTCCAGGTGAACTTTATATAGTCCAGGTGTGGTTTCTATAGTCCAGGTGTTTCTATAACCCAGGTGTGGTTTCTATAGTCCAGGTGTGGTTTCTATAGTCCAGGTGTTTCTATAGTCCAGGTGTGGTTTCTATAGTCCAGGTGTTTCTATAACCCAGGTGTGGTTTCTATAGGAGGAAAGACAAACTCATGTTAAGATAGAAATAATTACAAATACAAACAGGAAGAGTAGAACAAGTAAAGACAGCAGCAGAGAGAGGAAATGTGGTCAGTTTGTCCTCCAGCAGTCCAAGTCTATAGCAGCATAACTAAGGGATAGCTCAGGAACCCAAAGCCGACCCTAACTATAGGATTTATCAAAAAGGAAAGTCTTAAAACTGGACAATGTGTCAGCCTCACGGACAGAAAGTGGAAGTTGGTTCCACAAGAGAGGAGCCTGAGAACTGAAAGATCTTCCTCCCATAATACTTTTGGAAACTCTAGGAACCACAAGTAAACCTGCAGTCTGGGAGCAAAGTTCTCTGTTAGGAAAATATGGAACAGTAAGATCTGTATTCATGAGGACGTTACGACCCTCGTGGAAGTTGAGACCTTCTGGACAGCCCAGTGAGACGCCACTTACCGTCCTGAGGCCACTTCAGAAAAGTCAGATGTCTCAAACAGTTTGAATCATTCTGCACACAAATCCAAAGACTCTTATTTTGACATCAGCTTTTGAGATGCTTTAATGTGAAGGTGAGCGTTGTGGCGTTTACGACTTTTCATTCACAGCTTCCTGCAGCGTGGAGACTCTGCTCTGGTGAAGAGAGTTCATGAGCGCTCAGATGAAGTGTTTCTAACAAGTTGTGGACTTCCAGGTGTTTATTTACTTTATTTCTGTGGTTTGGTTCAGTTTCTGGGGTGAAACATGCTGAATATGTTTGATCTGAGTCAGAGTATCACCCTGATCCAGTGTCGCATTTACAGCTTCCTGTTTTGAGAAACTCTCGGCTGATCTTCAGCTGAGTTGGTCCAAAGCGGGAGGTTTTAATGAGTGATCTTCACGAGGAGATTTAAATCCACCTGGATTATTTGTCTCTTTATTCTGTGTTTTGGTGCCGTGAATAAAAACCAAATCCTTTCTTCGGTGTGGGAGGCAGACTGGCTGTTTGATGGGATTCCCAGATCCTGCAGGTGTTTCTGCTCGTATCGTACCTGCAGGTTAGACGTTTACCCCTCGAGTGTTCGAGGTCTCCGTTTTGGTTTGTTCCTGCAGCAGAAAACTGGATTAAAACGTGTGAAGCTGAGGAACGTGCAGGAGGTGGATTCGCTTAAATCGGATGAAAATATCTGATTAATGTTGGAAATAAAACACGAGGCTCTGAGAAGTAAAAAGATCAAAGAGCCAACATCGTTTTATTTTCACAGCATGAAAACAGAATTGTCACGATTTCTTCTCGTTTTACTTTTGTAGCTTCGTTATATTTTAGTGGGAGGTTTGGTTTAAATTGCTACAAAGAGCCCGAGTGTCCCGGCAGAGAAAGTGACCCCGCCCTCTTTTATTGACGATCAAAGATCTGATCGATGGGCTGCAGACGAGCTCACAGCACAGACAGAACTCGAACATGTATGCTCCTCTCGTGCCTCCGTGTGATTCTGATTTGACTTCGTGTTTGTTTTATCGCGTCTTCTCTCTGCAGATGACCAGAGTGACCAAAGATCACTGCCTGGAGATCATCAACAAGTTCGAGCCGTGCTCCGAGAACCAGAAGCAGGAGGTTCTGGGAATCGATGGTAAGTCCGCTTTATTTTAAAGAAACTTGTTTTGTGTTGGGACCAGTTCCTTTGAGCCCGCTGTGGGAACTGGTTCTCCAGCTGCCACAGAAAGACCAGAAATGGTCTCGGATGTAGTGAAAAACCTGACGTTTCCCAGAGCCTTGTTCCCTGGACCTACTGAGCCCCCCTCCTCTGCTGCAGGGCGGAGATATGACGCGCTGCAGGAGGGAGCTTCTCCTGCAGCTGGGGGCTGCTCAAAGGTGCAGCAGGTGCTAAATAATTTAAAATAATTTATTTTAAATTTCACGCCAATCGTGCGGCTCATCCATCAATCAGCCAGTTGTGCGTCATGTCCACTCTTATTTTGAAAAACCGTGACAGCGAGTCTGCGACAAATGAACCGCGAAGGACTACTGTGCTCCATTCATCCGTCTTGTGCGCGTGATGGCTTTTAAAATACGCGAGGTGTCTACTTCCACTTTGGTGTGTGGCTGCGTCTAGACCAGGGCTCTGCAACCTTTACGATCAAAAGACATTTCTGCCCCTTCGGTCACTAAATTAAACGTGTCCAGAGCTGCAAAACCTGCTCCACTTGTCATTATCAACTGGTGGCCCACGGGCCACTGTAAGTTTGTAAGAGGAGGCTTTTTCTGGCCAGTAGGTGTGAAATTATAAAACTAAAAACATCCAATGATTAACATTTATTGATATTTTTACATTTTGAAACAAAAAGAAGACTGGATTCCATCCATCGATTTTCTTTACTCACTTCTTCCTTTTCAGGTTGCAGGGGGGGTCACTGGTGCCCATGTCCAGGTCGCAACTCCATCACAGAAGACTGTATTCTTGTAAAAAAGAAAAGAAAAAAAAAAATTAAGATGTATG